GTGAGAGGGGATAACAGCGAGGGAGGTTGGGAAAAGAGATGTTATGGACTGAATATTTGCGTCCCCCCCACATTCATATGTTGAATCTAGTCCCCAGTGTGATGGAATTTGGAGATAGGGCCTTTGAAGGTCATTAGGTCATGAAGGTGGAGCCCTCATGAATGAGATTAGTGCTCTTACAAGAAGAGGCCAGAGAGCTAGCTTGCTCTCCTTCGGCCACATGAGGACACAATAAGAAGTCAGCCACCTGCAGACCAGAAGAGGGTCCTCACCAGAGCACATCCATGCTAGCACTTCCAGAACTGTGAGAAATAAATTTCTGCTGTCTCTCCACCAACCAGACTATGGTACTTCGTTACAGCAGCCAGAATTGACTAAGACGAGAGAGAACTTGTCATTCACCATCTCAGAACAGGGGGTGAAAAACCATTAAGGACAGAAAAATGTATAGCTACTTATGTGAAGGATTCTTTGATCATGTTTCTTAGCAAAAAAAAAAAAAAAATTCAACGTAAGAAAATAAATTCCTAGAGTTGGGAGAACAAAATCTTGCCCCATATTGAATGGAGCACGGGAAGTGCAAGGAGAATGATGGGTGATGGGGTTGTGCAGGGTGGTGTGTGTGTGTGTGTGTGTGTGTGTGTGTGTGTGTGTGTGTGTGTGTCTGTTCTCCCTGCGTCCCCTCCTCCGTGCCATGAATGGAGGCTGCTGCAGGCTCAAAGCTTGCTGTCTGAGTCCAGGACCAAATCCCAACTTCATAAAGTCGCAGCAATGATTCAGTGCCATGTGGCCTTCACGTGGGCTCCTTCAAACAAGTGACCTTGGCTGGCTATCTCCATGGTAACAGCTCACATCCCAAACTGTTCCTTCCTATGTGGGAGGAAACATTTCAGAAATGGGGAAAGGCAGAACTGAACAGTGGTTTTTCTCTCTTATGACCCTTCTCCTCTGGCAAATTGTGTCATTTCCCTGAACATCACTGTCTCCTGAGGAAACCGTGCACAGAAGAGGAGGTTTCAGCAACTTTATTTGCAGATGTATGCCCAGGATACATTTTAAAAGGAGAAGCCTGGAGCTGCTTTTCCGTTAGCTCCTTTTAAGTTTCATGCTGTGTTCAGTATTGCTCAGGATGCTTTTCATTAGCAGCTCCCCAAAGAGGAAGGCCTGCATGTCCTCATGTTGAAAGACGGAGCCTGCATGTCAGAGAGGATGGGTACCTTCCCCAGAGCTACAGAGCAACATGGCAGCCTCTACTGAAGCTCTACTTCCGCCCTGCCTTCCTGTGGTCCAGCCCCTGCCTGAGCCACCATCCTGGTTAGTCAGATGACATGGGTCTCTCCAGCTCTAGACTCCACCTCCTGTCCCATGATACTCCCTGTGATTTCCTCCAACAGGGTGCCTGGATTCTGGGTGAAATGATTAAGCAAATGTATGCTCTCAAACAAGAGAATTCATTGCATTGTAAGCTCAATGTTCTGTCTGTTCCACTATGTCTAGGATCAGAGCAGCGTTTTATAGGATGATAAATGACCCTTCTTCAGCTGAGCCCTGAAAGTGCGTGCCTGACCACAAAACCCTCCAGTTGCAGCTCTCAAATGTACCATGGGGTCTACTTTCCAACCAGAATCATATGCCAAGAGCACTCACTCCTTGGCCCAGCTTCAGCCTTTCCTGGTAGTTTTGATCCCATGATTCTGCCCATGAAAGAAATCTTTTTCTCTGCAGCATCCCTGCCTGACTTTGACGTACAAAGGTGTAATTAGAACAGCATGGAGCAAGCAGGACGATCCATTTACCTCATCCCTAACATTTAAGTGCTTTAAAATATGGTTCTAATATCCTAGGTGCATGGGGCCAAATTCCCTTCTCAGTTTCTCACATGCATGAGTAAATGCACACAGACTAAACCCCTTGGGCCTTAGGTTCTGCTTAGAAGTTTTTTTGGTTTTGTTTTTTGTTTTTTGTTTTTTTTAAGAAAACAAATATTCCGTTAAAACGACATAGTGTGCTCTGCATATTTTTAGGACGATTAGAGTTTAGAATTCCCTCTTCCTCCGCCCATGGCAAAAAGTTTTTTCCTTAACTATTTCCTCCCCAAGAATGACGTTAAGCTGGGATAAATTGAAGAGCTTCCTTGTCTTTTAAACTAATCTTCTCATCTTACACTGTCAAAGTACCAACTTGTGGATTGAGATGCTTGATATGGGAAGCATCCAGGCTCCCCTGTACCTTTGCCAGATAAATCCTTTAGGGAGACAGTTATTTGTGAACCTAAGGGAAACATTTACTTCAAACAGGAAAACCAAACACACAGGAAATGGAGAAACATAAACGTCAGGCCACTGTCTACCATCTGCTTAATTCAAAATGGGTCACCGGTTTGGGTAATTTTTCTTTAGCGTTTCCAACTGTGCAAATAAAATCTTAAAGGAAACAGGCTGGCTGTGCTCAGAGCTATAGCAAGACCAGGGGGAGGAACCTAGACAGTCAGTCTTCATGTGGAGGTGACGGTGAGAGGAGAGAGGGCCGGCCCTAACTCATGGCCTGTGTGCTTAGGTACGTTCGTAAGCTTGTGTGTACACAAAATTCTCCCTCCCCATTATGTATATGTGTATACGAATGTATATACAACATCTATATACAGCAGTTCCCTGCCCATTAGTCTGTGCCACTGTGGCCACGTATGGATAATATTTGTCCAGGCAACATGTAAATCAAAGGTTTTCTTGCAACCAAATTTGGAGGAACATCTTCACAACAGTTGCCATGTCACTGCATGTTCACCCCACGGCCACCAAATTTAAAAGCAGAAGTGGACGTAAGACCTATGTACAGCTTATTTTTTATTCATTGCAAAGCATATCAAAGGAAGGAAGAACCTAGCCCTGCTCACTTTATGATTTAGGCAGAAATAAGATACGCCTTCATGGGAGTCTGACTAGGAAGATGACCCAGATTCAGAGATGGCTTGGAAAAATGCACCTGGGATGTCTTCGAAATTAGGAGTTATATCGACGGATCAAAGAAAACTCATAACTTCCTAGGGAAAATGTGTTTATTTAAATTAAAAAATACTGTGAAAATTACAAACTGTTAAATACAGAAGACAATTTTGTACAACTTAATAGAATAAGAAGGAAGTATATACATCACTTTTTAATAGGCGCAGATAGACTTGCACCAAACTTCAGGATTAAGCAATGGAAAATGTGACAACGCACATCTCCATCGCAGTAAAGTTTCAGAATTCAAGTGATTCCAGGCAAGGGGCCAAACTTAACTTGGCTTCTTTCACCTTAAACAGCCCCCTTTGGAGTAAATCCACACTCTGAATTTTAAAGTGAACGGAGGACCTTTTTTCCCCCAAACATAAATTTCCTCTAGCACTGTGTTAAGGCGAACTGATAAACCAGCTCCTACACTGTTAACCCTTCCATGGGAACAGTAGTTATTGCTGTCTCCAATCCAGGGAGAGCATATTAAAAAAAAAAAAAGTTTTTGTTTTTACTAGAATTAAATTTGACCTTTTGGTGTGTTTCTCTTCTGCCTTGTCTTCAAGGGCCTAAAGAGTCTGCTGCAAAGCGACTGACCACAGGAATACAGGGAAACATTACCAAGCATTCCTGAGCATTTTCTCTTAGATGTCTCATTCCCTTAACTGGAGCGTTAATAGTCCACTCCCCAGACAGCCCTGCAGAGTAAAATGTGGTATCTGCCTCTTTGATTCACTGCTGGGAAAGTGACAGCAGGGATTGGTTAGTGATTCACCCTGGATTTCCCAGCTACATGTGTTCTCCCTCTCCAACTGCCCCTTTAAGTAAGCAGATCCTTTTCCAGACTAACTGGCCAAGGGGGAAATATTTTGTCCAAACTTCCTCACACCAGGCCATGTAGGATTTATCACAGAGTCTTAAAATCTAAAGACATCCTCCCAGCCCTCTGGGGATCTAGATCATCAGGAATCTCAGGAAGGCAGTAAGCCTCTGGATGACATGCCCAGGACCACACAGCAAATCAGATTCGGGGCTTGGTATTAAGAAACAGAGAACTTGGACCCCAGCTCTGCACAATCTCACCGGAGTATGCCCTTCTAAGTCTCAGCTACGTGAAGAAATGCCATGTTGTGGAGGCCCACATTATATCCTCTCCCAGCTCAGAAAACTGGGCTGGGAAAAAAAAAAAGCAGCAGCGGAGCTAACGGTTTGGGTTTGTTCAACCTCACCATCACCCCTTCTGGAAAGATTGGGAAGCTTCCCTGCATGGTCATGCGGAGTGCAGGTTAGATTCTGGGGAAGCCCTTCCAAGCAAAAAAGATGTCATGTCAGCATGGGATGCTGGATGGTCCCAGATCAGAGCTCAAAGTCACAGGTTAGACAAAGGGTCAAAATAGCAGATTAGTTTTATAATCCCAGCCAACGTTAACAGGTTTAAAAATTGCCTATTTTTTCCTTACAGAATGCAAATGGACCAGATTCAGATCTCAAGCTCCCTCCCATCAAAAGTCCTCCGTCAAATATCCCCCCTCTAACCCAAAAGACCTCTAAAAGAAGCTCTGTAACCCCAGGGGGAACTAAAGCCACAGGTTCACATTAGAGGTACTTACAGCCAATCAGATGTAGAAGAACAAAGCTCTAGGCAAATTGTCAAATGGAAACTAGTCCCTCAGGATGCCCTAGGCATTTGGCAGCCCTGGGAGTGGGCAGATGTTGCAGGTGTTACCCAGGGCATCCCGTGAGCAGACAACCGCAAGCACATCAACCTGCCGAATTCTGCACAGGAACCCCGACCCCCAGATCCCAAGGAAAGGTACACACTGCACATCTTCAGGGCTGTTTCAGCGGCACGTCCACACCACAGGCGCGTCGTGGACTGCGGGCTGCTGCTGGCTCCGCCTGAGACTTGTCCCCCACCCCCCACCCCCATTCAGGGGCTTGCCGAGGGTCTCCTGAAAGCGGCAGTTGCCCTGCAAAGGTGAAACCAGACGCGAAAAGTGCCCTTCCTCGCTCTAAGGGTGCTGGCTGATGGGGCCTCCTCCAGAGGTCCTGGGGGTGCTAGGAGTTCTGGTGCATGTTCTCCAAGGAGCCTTCGCTGCTTTCGTTGAGGGGCGTCTCCGAAGTCTCCTCCAGCTCGTCGTCCGCCGCCTCCTCCTGGATGGTGAGGTGCACGTCGGGCGAGGAGGACTCGGAACTCACGCTGTCTCCTTCCACGGAGCAGAGGGTGCAGGACAGGGCGGGCGCCACGCTCTCCTGCAGCACGTTCAGCACCATGGGCACCTGCACCGACCTCAGGCCGGACGTGGTGGGCAGCGGCTTCATGGCCTCCCCCCAGAGCCTCTCTTCGTCTTTGTACAGCAGCAGGAGGCTGGATTTCTTCTCCCGCCTCTTGGATTTCACGTAGCCCAGCATGATTCCAATCAAGAAAATGCCGTAAAAGGACATGACCACCAGAACGTAGAAGTATTCGTTGCCGTTGCCGCTGCCGCTGCCCGGCACATGGGACTCGAGGGGGCTGCTGGGGGCTGCGGTGCTGGCATGCGTGCTGTTCAGAGGCTCCATCTTCAGCATTGAAGCTCTGCTCACACAGCCAGGGTCTGGGGAGAAACGTGCAGGTTAGAACTCTCCCACGGGGCGGCCACAGTACAGGGAGGAAGGAGGGCGAGCACGAGATTTGTGGAACTGCAATATCAAAAAAGCGTAAAGCTGCGTGGAGAAATAGCTGCAAGAGGTCCCACCAAACAGTTAACAGGGGTCAGCTGTGAGGAGCTGGGGTGCATGGGGACACGGGGAGGTGGGAGGGAATGAGAGGAAGACTTTTATTTTTCGTGTATACCTGTCCATCATATTTTTATTTCATAAAGGGAGCATGTAAAAAGCTTCGCTTTTATCATTTTAAAAGAAAAAAAATCAGTGTAAGACAAGGGTGCATAGAGAAAAGAAATAACGTCTTAATCACGGGGAAACTTTCTGAACTGATTGAGCAGAAAAAAAAGTTTGCATTTTGCTTTCAAACGTAAAACTATTTTTAATTCAGGACAAAATTTCCTTAGGGAAAAAAGAAAGGAAAAGAAAACTGCATCTACAAATTGCTAGAAATATCCTTTCATTATGTTTCCGAAGCAAAGCAGCGTTGCTAACTTACCAAGGGCTGGCAAATTTGTCCCAAGTCCTGAATTCCTAGATCGTCAAGTCCAAGAGACTTCTTGCTCCGTGTGCGGCTCGGCGCTCTGACAGTTCCGCTGCCGCCCTTGGGATATACAGTCAAGAAATACATCGTCACGTGTTCAGGGAGGAAAATTTACAACAGAGGTTGGTCGTGGCAGAGTGAACAGTGAACTCACAGCACGGCAGTTCAACTCACTGAACTTTGCAGCTGTGAACAGAAAAAGACTGGGAAGCAGGAACAGCTTCCCACCCTGCCAGCACCCAGCCAAAGTTTTCAGGTGGCCATGAAAAAGGAGAAAACAATGTGCCCAGCTGGAACTGTTCCCCCAAAGTCCACTCTCATTGAAAATTAGATCGCGCTTCATCTCCCTCTTGGGGGATAACCATGATGTCTCTCAAGGTTTTCAGAGACAGACAAATACCATAATCTAGATAAAAGATAGTTGCAAGCAAGCGCAGGATTTACTGTCAGGGAACCAGGGCTTAAGTTTCAGCTCTTCCGCTGACTATGCAAATGTAATAAATCCTCACTGAACCTTTCCTTACCTCAGGTTCCTGATCTGTGAAACTGTTGGACGTAGGGGGCTTCAAAATGTAGAATTATATGAACTGTGCGAGCTTTTGAGTCCCTGTCAGCTTAATCATTCTAAGATTTAAGGCTGGTGAGTGTGGGTTAGCCCTTTAAAAACACAGAGAGATTCTACCTGTCTTCTGCATCATAATCTCCTAACGCTCATAAATCTATTCTTTTAACAATAATAGATATATATCTTCCAGATGCTTTCCAATAGTCTGTGTGAAGTGGAAACAGGTTACAGCGCAATAGGCAAATTTTTCTCCAGTTCTACAACGCATAACTGCTCCTCCGGGGCATCACACAGAGACATTCACACATCTCTTTGCTGTCAGGGGAGGAGCAGGGATTCTTCTGGTGAAGCAACTGAGCACAGTTCAAGCTTTTAAAACCTAGCAGACCCTGTGTTAAAAAGGTCACAGAGATCAAAATTGGTGAAGGGAGGGCTCCACTGGTGGCGCAGTTGTTGAGAGTCCGCCTGCCGATGCAGGGGACGTGGGTTTGTGCCCCGGTCCGGGAAGATCCCACGTGCCGGGGAGCGGCTGGGCCCGTGAACCATGGCCGCTGAGCCTGCGCATCCGGAGCCTGCGCTCCACAACGGGAGAGGCCACAACAGTGAGAGGCCCGCGTACCGCAAAAAAAAAAAAAAAAAAAATTGGCGAAGGGATTGAAGACTTTGGTGTCAGTCCGTCTGCTGCCCGGGATGCTTATTCTGAGAAGCTTTCATCCTAAATTGAAGTAAAGCAGGAAGAATGCTCTGCCCCCAGTTGCCTGTGAATTGCAGCCAGACTCTCTTGGGGAATCTACTCTAGGGAAGACATCTCTTGTGGTCCTGCTGTTGTTAAATTGAAGCTGAAGGGAAACATGGTACCATCCCTCTGCTCCATCAGGCACATATACAGCCCAAGCATGGGGACTTCCACTGCTGCTACATGAACCCACTGGGGTAGCGCCTGGCTCTAATTCTATTTGGACACCTGTGGAAAAAGCAGTATGAGGAGTGCGCGTTGCTGTTTTCCCCACTGGCCTACCCACCTTGTGGTTTGGGTGGTGCTGGCCCATAAGTCCCCAGCTGGCTATCAGGTATCGACAGCTGACCAGTTCAACTCCAAGACCATCCATACACTGGAACTTTGCTCACACCAGTAAAGACATCCCCAGAGTTACATCTACTTAAAAAGCTCCACAGCTACCTTGGTCAAGGTAGGCATGGCCTTTTCAACCTGTACTTATTGTAAGTACCTGAAGGCTTTCTTCTTCAGCTATGCCTACAGTGGTTTGCCAGGGACACCAGAACAAGAGAGACCCATGAGAGTAATGCCTGTTGATCGTGTAGTGTTGATTACGTACCCTGGGATGTATGAGATTAAACATCACCCAGGGATGGTCAAACATTGCAATTTGGAAGCTTTGAAGAGGCAGAGAGGAGGTGGGAAAGGGGTTACCAGACTTAAGGAACAAGGAAGTACAAAGCCTGGTGCCAAGGAGCCAAACAGAGGCTGAAGTTTCAAACAAGGTCAATCTTCAAAACCAAGCCAACAGTCCCAAGATGGTAAAACCAAGAAAAGACATGGATGTATCTAGAATGGCATCCAAAGGATAAAGCAATACAGGGACATAGGAAGAACACAATCCACTGCAGGTGTCACGGAGGGAACAACCCAAGTGAAACTCTGCTGGAGGCCTGCTTGGTGTCCCTGCTGCCTCTGGGACCTCGTGCTGACTCCTACCTATGTTTCTCTTACAGTTAAGTGAAATGATGCAAGTAAAGCACTTAGCACCGTATCTGGAAGAATGTGTACGCTCAGTCTACGCTACTTGTTGTCATTGTTGACAGTGTCCTGTTGTTACCAAGGGCTTCAGTTTGCTTCCTGATCGGACATGTGCCTGTCTTCATATTTTTCATTGTTGCTCTTTTCTCTCCCACCAAGGACGGAATTTAAGATGTAAGGCTTGCAGCCTCACAACACGAAGCTCAGTCTTCTCTCCAGCCCTCGCTCATAAAAACATTATGAGAATTATGGCAGTGAATAATGACATAAATAGTCAGGGAGGAAAGAAAAGCATCTAGAAAGTGCACTCTATCAGGGCAAGGATGGGGACACACAAGAATTATTGATTACATCTACTTTATACCACAGTATCAAGAGACAGCAATGTCAAAGAAATAAATCCTTTCTGCACATATCTTCTCCTAGCCTGCGGCTTTCCATTTTCTTAGCAGTGTCTTTTTGAAGAGCAACATTTCTTGATACTGATAAGTCCAACTTATCAAAATTTTTCTGATTTGTGTTTTTTGTATCCTAAAAAAATATTGTATAAACCAAGGTCACAAAGGTTTTCTCCCATTTTTCTCCTTGAAGTTTTATAGCTTTAGCTCTTACATTTAGGTTCACGATCCATTTCAAGTTAATTTTTGTATATAATGCAAGGTGTGCGTCAAAGTTTATTTTCTTTTTTTATATGGGTGTCCAATTGCTCCAGCACCATTGGTTGAAAAGACTACCCTTTTTCCCATTGAATTATCTTGGAACCTTGTCAAAAATCAGTTAACCATTTAATTGGTCCATTTCTGAACTCTTTAATCTGTTCTGTGGATCTATCTATTTATCCTTGCATCAGTGTCATGCTCCTTTGATAAATCCATTTTGAACTGGGATTTTTCATGAGTCTAAAATATGCTGCGGTCCATCCCTAGCTAAGTGTCTATTGTGAACCAGGCATTGGGAGAGGCTTTGCTTACTTCAACCCTGTGTGGTAAGTATCACCGTAACTATTCCATAAATAAGGAAACTGAAGGTTAGAGAGACTAAGTAACTGAAGGTTAGAGAGACTAAGTAACTGAAGGTTAGAGAGACTAAGTAACTGAAGGTTAGAGAGACTAAGTAACTGAAGGTTAGAGAGACTAAGTAAATTGCTCAAGACCACCTCATTAGTAGTAGGGTTAGGATTTGACCACAGGTCTGTATAATTCCAGAACCCATTCTCTTTCCACTACCCTTTGCCTCACTCAGTGGGAACCAGGAAAGGAACTGAGAAAGAGTAGAAGATAAAAGATGATGGGGCTTCCCTGGTGGCGCAGTGGTTGGGAGTCCGCCTGCCGATGCAGGGGACGTGGG